CGATGAGACCTTTCAAATGACATATGACACATGACTATCTGAGCTGTATGATGTTTCTGAGATATTAGAGTACATGGCACAAAAAACATTTTTCATAAATTATGAAAAAATTTTTTTATATTCATCCGCAAATGACTCAGCACTACTTAGGAGTTAATCAAAGTGGCTACATGCATTGTAAAGGTCAGACTCAAAGCTTTCAAATGACACCTATTTTGTGTTGATCAGTGCAGTGATTTTGAAAAATTACACTCCGGTTTAGAGGAACTAGGCAGCACTGGTTAGGAGTTGATCAAAATGGTTGGATGCATTGGAAAACTGAATTTCTGAGATTTAAAATGATACCTAATTATTTAAAAAAAAAAATGTACACAAAATACACAGAAATATTCTAGGTTTTACATTCTGCTTGCCAAGTGTTCAATGGAGCTCTCCAACTGATTTCTTCAATTCATGGGTTTAGGTATTATTTACACACGAAAGACGCAATGGATTGTTTTGATTTTGGACTCATTTCAATCGTGAGAATCTGCTGTAAATAATGATATGCCATTTTTCACGATCGAAGCATGTTTCAAGAAGTTCCAAATAAAAGCGCAAAGTGAAAGTACAGTTGTTTATTCTGCTGCGCCTGTCTGGTTTCATGTGTTACAGCTCTATGAATGAAATCTTTCGATCTGATCGGCGGATTATGGTAAATTTGGGCTCTTTTTAATCAGAAGAATTTTCTGTGCGGTTTTTCAAGATCTTTGCATGTTTCGTGAAGTTACGAGCTAAAACTGCACAGGACTGCAACCTCTGATTTTTTTGCTAAGCTACATGACCTAATTCTGTTTTATGTGTTGTAGCTCTATGAGTGATATCTTTAGATCTGAATGATGGATTATGGTGAGTTTGGGCTCTTTTTAATCGGGAGAATTTTCTGCAAATAATGACTTGCCATTTTCTATGATATATGCATGTTTTATGAAGTTACAAACGAAAATGCTACATGACAGCTACCTTAGATTTTTTTGCTAAGCTACATGCCGCCTGCGCAGTTTTATGTGCGTTATAAATTCTTGAGGAATATCTTTAGATATAAATGACGGATTATATGATTTTGAGCTCTTTTTAATCAGGAGAATCTGTTATTAAAAAAAAAAAATTTTCCACGATCTGAGCATGTTTTATGAAGTTACAAGTAAAATGGTGACATCAATATATTATTTTCATATGGGTCTTGGGGTGACTTCTTGTACAAAAACTTGTTCCAGTTTATTCAAAGCCCCAAACAATTATGCTTGTTTTATTCTACTCGATGAGACCTTTCAAATGACATATGACACATGACTATCTGAGCTGTATGATGTTTTTGACAGAGTAAATGGCACAAAAAACATATTTTGTAAATTATTAATTTTTTGTTGTTGCCATTTATCAGTAAATAACTCGGCACTGCTTTGGAGTTAATCAAAGCGGCTACATGCATTGTAAAGCTCAGACTCTAAGCTTTCAAATGATATTTTTTGTTGATCAAGGCAGTGGTTTGAAAAATATGATTAGTAATATTTTTGCGGAGGGGGGGCGTCCCGCCCGTGGTACACTCCGGTTCAGAGGGACTGCTCAACGCTTGTTAAGAGTTGATTCGAAGCTTTAAAATGATACCTATTTTGTGTTATTCCATTCAGAGGTTGCTTAGTAATTTGATTATTAATTTTTTCATGCGGGAGGTGTCCCCCCTCGGGCTTAAAGGGTAAATCCTTTAGCAGATATAGGCCAATATGTTTATTGGTGTGTCTATATCTTGTAACCATTTGATACAAACTTCATGAAAATTAAAACATGGACAACAGAACATTCTGAGGAAACTTTCCAAATTTCATGAATTTTCAATGCAAGAGAGCGCTATAACTTAACACTAACCTAATAGTGCAACTGTGATCGAACAAGTTGAGATCTGACCCAAAGAAAGGTGTACCCACAGCATCCACAGGACAGATTGTAAAGAAATTCACTATTTTGCTTAGGGTTTCCAAATGTGCATGGACCAAGTGGCAACCTTACGGTCTCTCTCTTGAAACCAACACGGAAGTGACTTAAACTGCAACTCATCGACTGGCCGCTAGAGGCTGGCTCCAAAAGGGAGTCAGTCCCATAGACTCCCCATGTTAAAATGCCCAATTTTACAGCAGAACATTTTTTTTACAGCCTGGTACAAAAAGTGGTTTTGGTCTAAATAGTTAATTTTGCCCTTCATGACAACTGTGAGGGGGGTGATTTTTTTATAACTTATCCTTTTAAATTATATAACTGCGGTTACTGAAACCACACCTTCTTTCTTTGCGTGAACATTTGGGCGCCATTATGCAAATATTTCCACATAGTGAGGTAGATATGTGGGGGCGTGTTAGAACGAGCCGTTTCAGGGGGGCGTGGCAGAGTCTTAACTTTGATAAAGAATATCTCTTTGGGTTTGAGACTTTAGTCTTTGCAACTTCAGGGATCTTATCTCTGCACAATCAGCTTGTAACACTCCAAAGAGAAAGGAAAACTTGAAATCACATCATATGACCCCTTTAAAGTTCTGCATAATTAAGGTCGTGGCCACTTGAGTGACAGGTGGATTGCAGCTGCTGTCACCACCGTCCAGCTAGATGGGTGTGGTTATCCGGGAGTGACGCGCTGCCAAGATGGCGACGGCCAGTTCCTCCCACTTTGGGCTTCAAAAATGATATTCAGAAACCTACGGGTGACGTTACATACACTACGTCCATGTTTTTATACAGTCTATGGCATGGACCAAGACAAAATCCTCTATCCTCACAAACCTTACCAAACAAGGCACTGATCCATCTGGAGAGTCTTCTGTCATTCCTTCAGGGACAAGCTTCCCGTTGATCTCCTGGTATTTGATACCGTTGATAGAACACTCCCTAAACTGCATCTCGTTCTCAGTAAGGGTTCCCGTTTTGTCTGTGAAAACGTACTCCACCTGCGGCCGCAAAATTAGCATAGATTTACTCATATCAGACAGTATTATACCTGGGGAAACAGTCCTAATCACATACACACACACAAACACACCTGTCCCAACTCCTCATTGAGGTCTGATGTGTTGACTTGAGCCTTCTGGTCGCTCTCTTCATGGTACAGATCCAAGTCCCAGCCAATGAAAAAAGAGCCCAGAAACTTCTGCAACTCAACGGTCACGTACAGCGAGATGGGGATTATGAAGTTGTACAACACCAGGAAAGCCAGGAAGTCAGAAATAAACTTCAAAATCTGCAAGGAGAAAATCACCAGTGGTCTTAACGAATCCTACTAGTTTTTGGGCCATCAAAGAGCCACCAGGTGTCACAAAGTATGACTTTTAATGTAAAATAACTGAGTATAGAGACTTTATAGTAACCTGACTGCTGTTTCTCTCCTGATCGGTCTTCTGATTGTAAAACGGCTCGTCCCATTTGTTCTCTGCCTGCCAGGCGTACTTCAAAATGGTGCTGAGGATGGCTTCAAACAGCAGAATGCCCAAGTAAATGATGAGAAATGTATTCATGGATCTGCACGAGAGACGAGAGAGATTATGTGGTAAAATGAGAAGGAAACAGTGGAAATGGAAATGACGAAACACATACTTCTCTACTGCAGAGCGTTTCTGGGACTTGCACTTGTAGTTCAGAGCCATCTTGGACTCCATGCCAGTATATACCGCCACACCTGCATGACACAACACCAGTTATACTCAAACCATCACAACATTGTGATGAACCATTAAAAACACAAACTTTTTTGGGAGTAAAGTGCAGTCATAAGCTGCGAGACAAGTTAATAAGTAAATAAGGTCCATTTTGAATTCATACTGATTTCAAAAGTTCTAAGTTGGACTTTAAAAAATGGTGTGAATGCCGTACCAAAGATTTCTTTGGTGTTTTTTAATCTTGCTCCTCGAAGCAGGAGGTTCTCTGGTCCTAAGGGTCTAAAAAGAATAACCAAAAAATATAAATAAACAAATAAATAAATGTAAAAATACACAAATACTTAAACATAAAGGGCCAGATTTAATTCCAAAACAGCGCCGATGGGAGGGGAAAATTCTGCAAGTGATTTACTAACAATGCACACATTAAAGAACACAGACACATCCAGATCATTTCCATAATGACCAGCGCAGTCTCCCAAAGAGCAGCGCAAATTACCGCCTGCTTTAAGACATATTTTTTGGGGGGCATTAAATAATGGCACAAATACCAGTAATTTGACAAAAGCAAACGTTAGTAAATCACGCTGTGTGATTAATTTAAATACTCTCCTTCCATAAATTTTGCATCTGAAAGGGAAACTCCTACAGATGCATATTCAATGGTCAAGTGCAAAAATAATTTTGTCCACGCCTTTTCAGCGCTAATTCGTCACTGCGCGTAAATCCCGACAGTACTATTTTAACGCCAAAAGACGGCGTATAAAATAATTGTGTCCACGCTTTTCAGCGCTAATTCGTCACTGCGCGTAAATCCTGACAGTACTATTTTAACTCCAAAAGACGGCGTAAAAATAATTGTCCACGCATTTTCAGCGCTAATTCGTCACTGCACGTAAATCATGACAGTATTATTTTAACGCCAAAAGACGGCATAAAAATAATTGTGTCCACGCCTTTTCAGAGCTAATTCAGCACTGTGCGTAAATCCTGACAGTACTATTTTAACGCCAAAATACGGTTTGCGCTAGCGCAAGCTGTTAGTAAATCTGGCCCATGTTAAACCATATTCATCTCAGATTTGAAGCTGGTTTTACCTGACTATCTCCTCTCCTTGTTGAGTTACTGTTATTCTTCCGACAAACCTGAGAAGAGAGAATGTGCTGCGTCAGGACTTACAGAACTGATAATAGCATCAAATCGACTGTGGTTGAGCAGCATTGTAAAGCAGTGTGTGAGGAGGATTTGGGTGGATCTGATTCTGTAAGATACCTGTATAAGTCTGCCTCGGGCTGCTGGCACTCCACCACCGCCTGCAGAGACTCCAGCCGTGACACCGACTGCGACACCGCCGTTTCTGGCACCGAATAGTGCGTCTGCACATCAGCAGAGAGAACACATTCAGTGTTACAGTCTGATACTTCTCACTTCTTACTTAATAGCACATTACTCATTGCTTAGTACAACACTGTATAGACAGCAGACACATATCTGCTTGTCAAATAAAATAAGATATCTGGATATTAAATTATTTTTTATCTCATAAGATATCTCATATTAGCCAGACACGACCAGAGAATTTGTGTTTGTTTTTTCATTGAGCAGTATTTGTGAAGTGGTAAAACATTGGGGGTGAGCGATAAGCAAATATCTATATGACAAAATGGGGGGGGGGGGGGGGGGGATGGAAACCTAAAACAAAAAACGTTGCTGTGCAAGATGGTGACGAAAACTTATCGTTTGCACATGTTTTAAGCATTGTGGTTTAAAACCAAGGGATTTTAAGCCGCTAAAATGCAATCAGTGGTGAAAGAGAACTCATTTCACTAGATACTGTTTCTCAGTGCTTGAAAGGTAAAATAAACACTTGTATGGGTCAAAATGCCCATCTTTGCAAGTATCCACGTAAACAGTAATTTAAGTCTTAAGTGAAAGCAAACGGCTGAGAAAGAAAACACATGTAACAGTATTGGATACAGGCAGCTCTTAAAGTGACAGCAGTCTAATATTCCTGCTTTTTGGCATTCATGTTAATCAAACAACAAAAGAGAAAAAATCTCTAACTGCTCTTGACTAAATCACTTTTGTTATACAGGCAGCTCTTAAAGTGACAGCAGTCTAATATTCCTGCTTTTTGGCATTCATGTTAATCAAACAACAAAAGAGAAAAAATCTCTAACTACTCTTGACTAAATCACTTTTGTTATACAGGCAGCTCTTAAAGGTGACAGCAGTCTAATATTCCTGCTTTTTGGCATTCATGTTAATCAAACAACAAAAGAGAAAAAATCTCTAACTGCTCTTGACAATCAATTTTGTTATTTTAGTAAGAAGAAATATAAATTTAATTTACACAGTGAAGAATATGCAATGTTTTAATACATTTGATTACTTTATACAATGTATGTAGCATTTCTTATTTATTTGTTCTACTGTCGTTTTTTCTGCCATATTGTTTGTAATTTTTAGTATTGCTTTTAATATTAGTTTCTTATTCGTATTTAATTATTGACTGTTTACTTGTATTCAGTGAGCTAGTTGTTGTTGTTTTTTTTAGGCTAGAATTCGTTTTTTTGTGACATTTACACTGGTGACAATAATTATTCAATTTATATGGTATCAAGAATTTATATAATAAAGACCTTATTTAAAATAACTATATTATGCATATCGTTACTGTGAAATAAAATTACTCATATCGTGAAATAAGATTTTGGTCCTATCGCCCACCCCTATTCATAAATGATAATTTCCAAAAGAATGGTAGACCACAAATATGATAAACACTTTTTTATTATTATTTAAATAGTCACGAATATTGCAGAGAAACACCTTAATAAATAACTACAGTACAAGGAGAAAATTATATAAAGAAACTAAAAAAAAATCTCAAAATACTATTTCTCCAATAATAAATCTCTAAATAATAGATCTGTAAAACTATTTTGACCAAACTGAATGATGTCTAAATGACCTTTAAACAAACAAACCGTTTCATCTATTTATTAAGATGCATTTATCATTGTTCTGCAATTTCTGAGGGTGAAATCCAGTCATTTTAATAAGAATGCACACAATTGGGAATTTCACATGAGGGCGAAAAATTCTCACACATACTTGGCAACTGGCTTTCACACTGATTCGCCGCACTGACCACCAGAAAGTTGTTTGGTTTAAAACTGACTTCTGTGTGAGCTACACTAATGCCAATACGCAATGGACATTTTTTTTGCCCGAAAATTTGCTGAAATTTCTATTTAAATGATTTATTTAAAATAATTATTTCATTTGGCAATCTTTTTAATGCAACTTTTTTTTTTTTTTTAAACAAGCGTTTTCTTAAATTTTAAGGCTTCTCCATTTAATCATTTAGCAGATGCTTTTATCCAAAGCTGTGAATCACACGATTTGGACAGCCTTTCCTGACATACTGAAAACCTTTTTGACGACTCTATTTATATACTCGATATTAAAACATGGCTAATCCAGACATTACTCAGCATTTCTTGAGGTAATTCACTCAGTGTGATTGCTTCTCGCTGCACGTTTGTCACAAGCTCAGGGAGGGAAAAGTGACAGCAGAGCTTAGTGGAGGGCCAGTTCGACAAAATCAGTCAGAAAATACACTCAGAGTTTAGTTCCACAAGCCTTCAGTACACAAAAAAAAAAGGCTTCGAGATGGGCGTCGCTGAAAGCGACAACAACTTTGGTGAGTCACATGTTTATTCAGTAACCACTCTGAGAAATTCAGTAAGATGCTATTGTTTATGAGCAGAAAACACAGACCTTCAGGTTAGTCTCTCCGTCTAGGCTGGTAGTGGTGATGTGGCACGTCCCCTCGACCCGATCTGATGATAAGAGCACCAGATCTGCAGGAAACGTCTCATCTTTGGCTACTCTCACAATATCACCCACCTACGAGAACACAGGAGGAACATCAACCCACGTGACATGACAAGGATGTCTGAATTGCTGAAACAGCACATCCTAAAGTCACCGTGTTAATTAACATGACTGTAGGGATATGGAAACGTTTCTAATATTTGAAAGCATCTGTTGTTTTTAGTCTGGCATGGTTAGCAATGGGATCCCGGTGCTGTTGGCTGAAACTCACTCTGATATTCTTGGATCGGGTTTGGACCAGACTGCCACTGCGCACGACAAACACAGGTGCTCCGTTCACTTCATTGTCAGCTTTGTGCCGCAGCCAGTCTTCATATCCCTGTATTTGTGAGTGGGATTATGACAAACAGACCACTAATCGGTTATCCTGCAATCAAACTGGCACAACACTGCGTACACGTCATGATCCGTGAACATGAGCTGCCAAAACACGCTCGTACACTCACCTGTTTGATGGCAGTTACTGTGATGACAAAAAACAGGGGAAGTCCACTAGTTATAGGGGAAGTGGGTGTGTCTATCATTAACTGTAAGGGAGAAAGAGGATCTGGTTAGAAACAGGGCAGACCTGTAGTATGCGGTGTCACATACTGCCTTTACCCTCCACGGACATATATCACCTTTGAGAGAACAAGGTTTAACATTTGAGCTGTACACTCTCAGAAAAAAGCTCTAAAGCTTCCACTGGGGCAGTACCATTTCAAAAGGGATAGTTCACCCAAAAATGAAAATTCTGTCATTAATTACTCACCCTCATGTCGTTCTAAACTCGTAAGAACTCCGTTCATCTTCGGAACACAAATTAAGATATTTTTGATTAAATCTGAGAGCTCTCTGACCCTCCCATAGACAGCAAGGATCCTTACATGATCAACGTCCAGAAACGTAGCAAGGAGATTGGTAAAATAATCCATGTGACACCAGGGGTTCAACCGTGATTTTATGAAGCAACGAGAATACTTTTTGTTCGCAAGGAAAACAAAAATAATGACTTTATTCAACAATTCGTCTCCTTAATTATTTCATTTGGCAATCTTTTTAATGCAACTTTTTTTTTTTTTTTTTAAACAAGCGTTTTCTTAAATTTTAAGGCTTCTCCATTTAATCATTTAGCAGATGCTTTTATCCAAAGCTGTGAATCACACGATTTGGACAGCCTTTCCTGACATACTGAAAACCTTTTTGACGACTCTATTTATATACTCGATATTAAAACATGGCTAATCCAGACATTACTCAGCATTTCTTGAGGTAATTCACTCAGTGTGATTGCTTCTCGCTGCACGTTTGTCACAAGCTCAGGGAGGGAAAAGTGACAGCAGAGCTTAGTGGAGGGCCAGTTCGACAAAATCAGTCAGAAAATACACTCAGAGTTTAGTTCCACAAGCCTTCAGTACACAAAAAAAAAAGGCTTCGAGATGGGCGTCGCTGAAAGTGACAACAACTTTGGTGAGTCACATGTTTATTCAGTAACCACTCTGAGAAATTCAGTAAGATGCTATTGTTTATGAGCAGAAAACAGAGACCTTCAGGTTAGTCTCTCCGTCTAGGCTGGTAGTGGTGATGTGGCACGTCCCCTCGACCCGATCTGATGATAAGAGCACCAGATCTGCAGGAAACGTCTCATCTTTGGCTACTCTCACAATATCACCCACCTACGAGAACACAGGAGGAACATCAACCCACGTGACATGACAAGGATGTCTGAATTGCTGAAACAGCACATCCTAAAGTCACCGTGTTAATTAACATGACTGTAGGGATATGGAAACGTTTCTAATATTTGAAAGCATCTGTTGTTTTTAGTCTGGCATGGTTAGCAATGGGATCCCGGTGCTGTTGGCTGAAACTCACTCTGATATTCTTGGATCGGGTTTGGACCAGACTGCCACTGCGCACGACAAACACAGGTGCTCCGTTCACTTCATTGTCAGCTTTGTGCCGCAGCCAGTCTTCATATCCCTGTATTTGTGAGTGGGATTATGACAAACAGACCACTAATCGGTTATCCTGCAATCAAACTGGCACAACACTGCGTACACGTCATGATCCGTGAACATGAGCTGCCAAAACACGCTCGTACACTCACCTGTTTGATGGCAGTTACTGTGATGACAAAAAACAGGGGAAGTCCACTAGTTATAGGGGAAGTGGGTGTGTCTATCATTAACTGTAAGGGAGAAAGAGGATCTGGTTAGAAACAGGGCAGACCTGTAGTATGCGGTGTCACATACTGCCTTTACCCTCCACGGACATATATCACCTTTGAGAGAACAAGGTTTAACATTTGAGCTGTACACTCTCAGAAAAAAGCTCTAAAGCTTCCACTGGGGCAGTACCATTTCAAAAGGGATAGTTCACCCAAAAATGAAAATTCTGTCATTAATTACTCACCCTCATGTCGTTCTAAACTCGTAAGAACTCCGTTCATCTTCGGAACACAAATTAAGATATTTTTGATTAAATCTGAGAGCTCTCTGACCCTCCCATAGACAGCAAGGATCCTTACATGATCAACGTCCAGAAACGTAGCAAGGAGATTGGTAAAATAATCCATGTGACATCAGGGGTCCAACCGTGATTTTATGAAGCAACGAGAATACTTTTTGTTCGTAAGGAAAACAAAAATAATGACTTTATTCAACAATTCGTCTCCTCCACGTCACCCTAGCGCCATTTTGGAGAGTAACGTTATCCACTGAACGTAAACATCGTATGCTGTTCTGTGTCAGCTGCGTCACGCGGATACGTTATTTTCGTTCAGATCAAAGTGTAAACGATGTAAACAGTGTATCCGCGTGACGCAGCTGACACAGAATAGCATACGCTGTTTGAGTTCAATGGATACTCTACAAAATGGTGCTAGGGTGACGTGAAGGCGGCAAATTGTTGAATAAAGTCGTTATTTTTGTTTTCTTTGCACACAAAAGGTAATCTCGTAGCTTCGTTAAATTACGATTGAACCCCTGATGTCACATGGATTATTTTACCAATATCCTTGCTACGTTTATAGACCTTGATCATGTAAGGATCCTTGCTGTCTATGGGAGGGTCAGAGAGCTCTCGGATTTCATCAAAAATATCTTAATTTGTGTTCCGAAGATGAACAGAGTTCTTACGAGTTTAGAACGACATGAGGGTGAGTAATTAATGACACCTAATGATTTTTAGGTGAACTATCCCTTTAATTTACTGTATACAAGTACCGTAATGGTAAATATTTGTACCTTTCAATAAAGGCACTGCCCCATTGACAGCTTTAGTACCTTTTTTCTGAGAGTACGATATATTATAAATTCACACAATATTTGTATACCCCGCCAATTTATAAAGTTTTAAATATGGATATTTTTCTTACACAAACGCATCAATTCACTTCAGAAGGCCTTTATTAAGCCCCCCGAGCTGTGTGGAGCACTTTTTATGATGGATGGATGTACTTTTCTGCTTCAAAATCTCGAGCACCACTCACTGCTATTATAAAGCTTGGAAGAGACAGGGCATTTTTTAAACATTCCTTTTCAGAATTCATTTTGAATCTAATTTCGTTCTCAAAGTACATCAGCTCTGCTGTGTCGTCACACAAGGAACAAGAAACACAAGGACGATCTGGGCTTACCTGAACCAAGAAGATAATGAGAAAATAAAAATTGGCGATTCTTCTGAACTGCTCAAACAAATTCTTGGGGATGAAGTTCCATATGGTGTACTACAAAGAGAAAGCAAAACAGCGTGGAGGATTTTACTGCCAAATTCTCAACAGGAGCAGGGAAACACATGCACACGTGAGTCAAATGACTACAGATCTTTTTTTTTTTTTGACCTTTTCACATTCAAGCTTTCAGAAGAATCTGCTCCTACCTTGGAGGAAATTATCCTGTTGTCTGAAAACCTCTGAGGAATATAATGGCCATGCTGTGGGAACTTGTTTGCTATGTAAACTGTGCGTGTGTCACTCTGATGGGGAGGGTCGAAGCCCTAGAAAAGATGAGGAGAGACGGGTCAGTCAGTGTGACAGACAGACAGGCCAGAGACATCAACAACTGCTATTTAATATTTCACCTGCAGCGATAGATAATATCATACTAGCTATTGGTGAAACAGTGACAGAATCTTAAAGCTTATGGAAAACAGTACGCTGAAGAAGCCGAGAGACTGATGGGAAGGCATCACTCTGCCAAAGTCATTATTAATTCAGTTAGTGTGCAGCAAACGATTCATTACGGGAGGCACTTCCACAGCATATGAGAGCTAAATCACTTACTATTGAACTCCTATTGCTTTCCGACTTTCTTTTTGGTCTGCGGGCCAGACGCACATACTCTATGTGACTGAGTGTGTGATCAGAAGCCAGATATTGCGATATTTGACGATATGGCCAAAAAAACTATCCCGGTAAAACGTTTAATATCAGTCGATATCGATAATCATCACGATAAATTTCAAATCTTTATTTCTGTCAAGTTTAAAGGCAGATTTTTGCTCCGAAGTGAAAGTTGCAGAAACCAGACTGCTAATTGTGGGTTTTAAACTACTTTTTAACAGTAGCTTGAGTTAGGATGCAGATGCAAATTTATGTTCATCAAAAACCGGAACATCTTCACAAAAAAAAATGTAACAATCTCTTTTTTTTATGGTGAAATGTAATGATTCTGATTGAGTACTATTCAAATTTACCATTGGTATTCAATAGTGGCATATTTAGATTGCGATAACCACAGTTAAAACCACACATATAGCACCTCAATACCATGGTAAAAATCTATGTAACTATGGTTTCTAGGTATTAATATGAAAAACAGTAATCTTAGTATAAATGCACAAACATTATAACTTAATCACAATAATACTGTAATTATATTCTCTTTCACCTTTAATACATTTAATGCACATATGCATTAATAATAAAATATTAATAATAAAATATCCCACATTTCTGCCACAAAACCATGGTGTAGTTGTTACCACAGTAAATGGAAATTTGTAGATTGAAAAGCCTTCTGACTGTACCTTTGCGCAGTGTTTCTGCTGTTTGTCAGCGCTGTTTTATCTGGCTTTAAACTAGTTTAAATTACAGAGTCATTTGTGTTCTGCACTGAACTCAAGTGCTTCACACTGGATATCCCAGCGCTGTTTAGTGCCATGTGACCGAGACTCATCAGTGGGTAAACGCATCTGCTCTAGCTAAGCTTGCGCTGCGCTGCCATTTAAACGGTCCGCATGGCGCTCTTCAAATAACTACTGCTGTTTCGTTGCGCTTTTGCCGCATAAACATTATATCGAACATAATCGAATTCTTGTTATCGTTTTATCGAGGAAAATTATCTCACGATAATTATCGTTCTCCTTTTATCACACAGCCCCATTTTTAAGAAAGGTTTCTTAAGATTAATTATCTTCGTAAGAATGTTCCTGACAGCAATTCTTGCCAAATTTTTAAGGTGCCAAATATTTTCTTAATAACAAAAATATATATTTTTTTTTGCCATTATCTGACTGTATGCTGGTTCTCGTCGAAGACTCGCTG